TGTGGCTCGTGTTGATTTGGCACCTGTTAGAGTTTGTTGAAGTGCGTGTAACGAGGGCTACGTAAGCGTTTGTAATGGAGACGCTGCCCGCGTGACACTTGAACGATGAAACGATCGTCTAAATAATTCAACTAAGTTAGGATTTATTTAAGGATTAAATTTAATACTTTTATGGATTTGTACTTCAACTGTTAATTAAAATGTGTAGTTGATTGATTCAGTGAAATGATTTTTTTAATTCGAAAATAAATTAAATCGAGTTATTTTAATTAACAATTAAATTTCATTCTCCATATATAGGGGTTGTTGAATGCATGATTAGAGCATAGATTGAAAGGTATGATTCTGCTATTCCTGTTGCAATTTAATCTTTACTTGAATCATTAAAAATAAAATTTGATTCCTACTTGACTCATATTTTAATTAAGAATTAAATTTAATGGTCAATTGATATTTTTTCAATTAAGTATTAAATTTAAAATTGATTTAAAATTTGGATCAATCAAACTATTAAATTTGATTCCTTATTAAGCTATAATTAAATTGCAATTTAATTAAATTATTTATAACTTTGGCTCTTCCAGAACAGCACAGGTAGTTTTTAACAATTTTTTCTTCTTTCGGTATACTTAATTAAACCTTGTGTCTGGATTTGTTTTCCAAGAACATGTTTTTAGTTGATCCTCAGCTGAAATATAACTAAAATAGTAACTAAAAATAATTTTATTAAAAAGAAAAAATTTTGCCAATTTTAAAATTACCGCTAGAGTAAACAGTCGTGAAAATTGACAATTATTTTAATGTTGATAATTTTGTATGATACATTGTTGAATAAATCCAAGGTATGGACAGCGTTTACCTGTAGGGTTTTCTAGATTTTTTGTCTGGATTGTGTGATGTATATTGTTTTAAATACGAAAACATAATATAAATACGAAATAAATAAAATATATTTCAGATTTCGGTTGATTTTAAACATTTTACGTAACATTCGTTTATTCCACATTTAAACATAAATCAAATTGACAACTTTTAATTAAAGCATTTCGAATTGACCCCAAATTTGATCAACTACTGGATTTTACTGGTATTCATAATATATTTCAATCTATAAAATTCAACTTAACTGTCGGTTGTACACATTATTAAAATAACAATTGAATTGTTTCAAACACTATTGGAATAGAGTTCTGATTGTAATGGAAACCACTTCGAAATTAAATATTGTTAGAACCCTGTTATAAGCAGTTCAATTTTTTTTCAATTGTCCTACCACTCCGTTTTTAGAAAATCGAATCCCGTACCTCCCACTCGTCGATGCTTTTTTTCCCACTCAACTTCCATCGTTGCGGTCTCGGTAATACAAATATCGAAGCGACAACACGCCTCCTGTGTTTGCATACAGCTGTCGCTCGCTCAAGCGATTCTAAAAATAACAGTTCTCGCTTAGGTAGACACTTAAGAATACTCACTTGCAGGTTTGCGAGACGCTTTTTAATGAAAAATCACTTCTTGCCCCCTTGGATTTTGTATAGTACGATAAATTGTGATTTTGTTTTCTCCACGTCCATCGCAGTTTTCTGACGCGCAGGTACGCGAAATCGTGACAGTTGGCGTTTTTCCCCCAAACTCCGTCATTGAACAGATGCTCTTGACATACTGCTTTTACTAACGATTTATTACCCCGACGATTTTATCGCCATCGAAGTGCTTCTCGTCTCCGTCTCGTATACCGTACCGGTATGAACCGATTGCACCCTCCCTGCTGCTCTAGAAATTTACTACACTTTTATGACAAATCTGGAGCGTCGGAGATAAGCTGTACACGAGCCTGATTTTTCACGTCTCATTCTTGTAAAATTTCAGCTCAGTATTTAGTTAACTGCGATCGAGCGAGACCTATGTGTGATTGCTTCAGTCGAAAATGGAAAAAGTTACACCGATGTTTCTTTAAAGTTAATATGAATTAGATGAACCGTGCTGCTCTGTCGATTTGAGAAGATATTTTTATGCCGAATTTCAGATTTCTAGACCACTTATGGTAGGTGATGTTTTTGCCATGAAGAATGCAAATATCGTTTGGGGCACTTTTACTTATCTGACAAGAACCTTTTATCCACTACATAGTACGTGAATTTCTATCTTACAAAAAGTAATTAAGTGACGTACTTAATCTATACATTATAGCGTTTGTACTGTCATTAATATTTTTTCTTTTTGCCCAAGTCAATGGTAGTTTAATCCAATTATAATTTTAGTAACATTTTGTAAAATCACATAAATATTGTAGTTATGATTTA